AAACAAGATATATGCCAGTATGCGCAGCGAAAACAACGTGAACTGCCGTGTACAAAGAAAACCCCACCGCAAGACGATGGGCAAATGATTCGACACTCTTTACACACCTACAGATGCGTACAGGCTATGGATCATGTGTATGTTTAGTGGCACATCTGTATAACACAGGAACCTCTCACTCATATCTCTGAACATCCCGCCTGCACTAGGTAATGCTATAAACCCTAAAACCCTAAACCCTAAAGCGAAATAGGCACATCTGTACAACACATTACCCTCTAACTCGTATCTCTGGACATCCCGTCTGCAGTAGGTAATGCTATAAACCCTAAAACCCTAAACCCTAAAACAACACGATAGATCGACCCTCGGATTGCACATAGGCAAGATCCATACCTACCTATATATACCTAAAACATACGACACAATCATAGTTACATATTAATCATACCTACAGACATACACATTAATCATGCCTACAGACATACACATTAATCATACCTACATATACATTAATCATACCTACATGTATACGCATTAATCATTCCTATATACACGAATTAATCATACCTACATGCATACACACTAATCATACCTATACACAAACACATTAACCATACCTACATTACACACACAACTGAAGTCACACTGACTTACCCCACCCCTATCTTGCGCCTCGTTGCCTTTGAATTCGCACGTGTTCAAGGTGCTGCTACCCTTTGTGTAGACACTCCCGCCATGCACAACAGCTGCCACGTGTAGTGCACATTACATGACAGAGGTTAGAGGACTGACACATAGATATCTTCTTACTATGAATAGGACGAGTGCTACTGCAGTGGATGTTGACCTGATAGTATATGAGATTGGGTAGGGATTGGCAGTGTACATAGCGTTAGGGTTTAGTGTTTAGAGTTTAGCTCAAATGTACATCTGTGCATTGGGCTGACATGTATTCACATCAGATTAACGTGATGAGTCTCTGTGTATTATTAATATATGAACTTCGTGAGGCTATATAGCGTGGCTGATGACGTATGGTTCGACTATAAATAAGCTATCCTTCATCACACCATCGGTTGGTTGCTTGATAATCAACCCTCAATCCCGTCTCCGTAGATGCATATAGTACATACCATGCATCTACCTATAGTACATACGTCGAACACACACACATACACACACACACACAGGTTGAATATACGTAAACGTGAACGTGAACTGTGTCGATCAAAGCCGCTTTACATCCACTCTAAAACGTTAACGAACCCTCTGCTCGAGATCACACACATACTACATTTCGAGTCTTCGACTCCCCTGTGTGTAGTGCTTTGACCTCTACAGACCTAAAACACCATACCATACCACTCACTGCCTTGAGCATGTGTATGAGCATACGGCCTAGCCATACCCAAGTTATCTGCAAAGTGGCCCAGAGTGGCGTCCAGGCTTTCGCCCGAGTAGATGGCCCCCCCATTGGTACCGCACTGGTTGCCGTCAAAGACGCTGTTGTTGACCAACACATTGTTGGCGTAGGCAGCCCCACCAGAGCTCCCCGCGGAATTGCCCAAACAGACCCCCCGGTAGAACTGGGCCACGTTCTGTGTGTGTGTTATTGGCAGATGAGTGTATGGTGTGTGTTGTGTGTGTTATTGGCAGATGAGTGTATGGTGTGTGTTGTGTAAGTTATTGGCAAATGAGTGTATGGTGTGTGTTGAGTGTGTTATTGGCAGATGAGTGTATGGTGTGTGTTGTGTGTGTTCTTGGCAGATGAGTGTATGGTGTG